CTATCGGACTGGTCTGTGGTCCTCAGACAGTATTGATTAAGACCAGTCAAATGCCAATATCAATGTTAACTACGAGCACATCTGTGGGTACAATCAGACTGTTGGACTAAAGCCTTTTGATCTTTGTGAAACTGCCCACAGGTTTTTACAGGCTACAAGCACCAACATTTACCCAGAATTCTGTGCAAACTCACCCCTTCAACCTGTTTCTATCATATTACTTCTTGCTCCCATTTTGCTGAGTTCTGTCCTGTATTAACGGTTCTATCTCATTATATAAATCATTTGATTGATAAGTTATAATTACTGCATCAGGAAAGTTCATTCACAGTTTTGGTTTTATGTGAAAACACAAAAAGCGTGCTAATATAAAACCTCCTGATCACAGAAACATGTTTGTGAACTGTACCTTTGGGAGTTTCTAAGAATTTTAGTGTTGGATGTAAAATTTCAATCAATCAATTAAGAGATCAAAAATGGTCACCTACCTTCACGACAACTTTTTACACGTCAAGACAACAAATATTGGCCTTCTACAACGTAGAACTTTAAAACTAAACTGCTTTAATGATAAAACGTAATGGTAAAGCTATGGATTACCTTTAGCTGTGTATTTATATTGTCTCCCTAGCTAACTGCTGACTCTATATACCCAGTTAGTCAATGCTGGCTGTGTATGAAACATAACATGCAACAAAGCACTAAAAACGTTTGAATCTTGAAATTAAATTTCACTTCTAACTTACACTTGATTGATTTAATGAAATTATAATCAATAAATCAATTATTTCCACAACTTTTCCTCTACTCTTCATTTCTAACGGTCTGATTTCAGTCAGTATTTCATTTAGAGAAAGGAAATGGAATTCATTTGATGACTCATCCTGCACTTGGGGTGCATACTAATGTTGCGTCCAATCAAACGCTTTCCTCTCTTCTTAAGCCGAGTGTTTCTGAGGGCCGTTACAGATATCTATGGCCTCACTGAGTACTGTACAAAGGCCTACTTGCTATTGGCTGCTGTATCAATATCCACTACAAGTCCCTCCCCTACTGCCTGTTAGATTACATTTATACACTTTGAAATAAGATGAAAACATTCAATATGTTGCTGCCATTAAATTGGAAGTAGGTTACAAGGACATTACTGTAAACCAACACTTTGACTGGTTCAGCTGGTTTAGAAACAATAATGTGGGTATGAACTTTCACTTTGTATCCAACCACTGATTTGAGGAGGCTGGTGGGTGGACTGATGGATGTTTGAAAGGTTGATCATTTGGGACATTATTAATGTTTTCCATTTCTGATCTCTGACTCCATACTGGACCTCATCATCTCTACTGGTAGTCTAGTCTGGTTGTCCGTCCTGTGATGGTCACAGGGCCGCAGCATGTGAACAGAAGTTACCTGAGCAGCATGTTTAAAGGCAAAGATGAGACTGGCTGTGTGATCACAGTGGGTTTAAATGCGCGTAAGTGATACTGTCGTTTGCGTGATGGATCCGCAAAAGTTACGCATTCAAACATCATTTGAGACGTGACGGTCAGTGCTGTAACCAGTGTGCTGATTCAAAGACTGAACAAAAGCACAAAACAAATGGCAAAACCTTCAAAACCTGTTAGCATCATGTGCTGTATTCTGTTACATCTCAACATTTTATGGATGTTAGCAATGAGCTAGCAAAGGTCCTCACATCTACCAGCAGTGTTTTCGTGTCTTAATCCTCGACAAACTCATCTCAATATAAGTGACTCGAGTTTAAGAACCAAACTGATGACGGACTACTGTAAGTTGTGTCAGCTAAAGCTAACAATATCATTGAGTTCTTAAGGATGCTAATAGCGCTCTACATTACCCTCTTGAGCTAACATAGATAGTTTCACAGACTGAACGGAAAGGTATATAGCACATAAACTTTTGATTATTCAATTTTAACAATAAAAATAATTATTTATTAAGTTAATGAGTTTAAGATACTGATGTGATAGTCTTTCTTAGTAGGCTAAGCTGGTTAAAAAGTACACAAATTTAGCTCAGACAAGATGCTATGTAACATTACTGAAACCATATTCTTAAGAATAATCATGGACTATAATGTCATGGGTAATCACCATGACATTATATACATGGCCCCTATAGTAAAAGCTCTCTATGTTAGCTTCCTGAGCTAACGTTAGCTTCAAACTGAAAGGATGGGATAGTTTCGGCACAGAAAACAAAAAAGGTCCCAATTAAGAGTTACTATGTTTAGGTAATTTAGGTTCATATGTAAATGATATACTTGGGCATAAATTTAGCTTTGACAGAATGATACTTAGCATTACTCAACATATTCTAAAAATGACCAAGACATTCAGAATAAGCATTATACTGATTGCACTTACTGTGTTAATGACAGTCACGTCTGACACTGTTAAAGTTAATGACATCTGACTGACGACCCCGATATGATGGTGAAAACTCTTGCTGTTAGCTTTTAAGCTAACAGTTTCACAGATTGGAAGGAAAAGCTACTTCACCAGCTAGAGCTGATAAAAATCTGCCAGGTGTTTGGAAATGACCTCAGTGATGTGCAAATGTCTTCAGTCATGCCATCCTTACCTCCGTGACTCAGTCATGACCTTGGTCACTCAACATTAATCTGATGACTCTAACCTGGACATGCATGAATCAATTCGGTGATGGACTTCAAACAATAAAGGGATGAGGCTCAATCTGGACCCGAGGTTTGGTTACTGGACTACAACGCTGCTTACAAATGTCATATACAATGAAGTAAACGTATATTCTTACCTATAAAATGAATAAATGTAGGGAAGTAAATGAGCTACCAATTTAAGATACAAAAGATAGTGTGTAGTAGCTTTACACCCGTACAGCTCACATACGAGGCTCTGCATAAGAAATATGACATTTAGTTTCTCTTATATTAGCACATTTTCAAAAACTAATTTCTGACCATTGGTGGCAGACCCAACATGAAATGGGTGTCTTAGCAGTATTAGCACTATTATTCAAACTGTATTACCTGTCTGACAAACTCATCTAAATAAACTTAAACTTAACTTAATACATTTCACTGTGTAAAAATACTAACTTCTTTCAATGTAAATGAATTAGGAAGACTTTTCTTTGCATGGTCACAATTACAAGTAGTCTTTTGGATCTTCTGTTAAAACATCACTTCTCTGGATATCAGGGAAATGCGGCTATACTACAGTTTAATGCAAACAGAACTTAGCAAACTTGACTTCACCCTGAACAGGACCTGGCTCAAGGACTTACCAAGGGTAAAAAATGCATTACCTATATATCAGGTGCGTAACACATAATCCTGTACATAGTAAAACAAATTAGACATCTGGAGAATTTGAAGCAATAAACAACACACATTAACTTGTAATAAAATCAGAAGCCACTCTGTTATAACAGCTTCTTTGATGCGAGGACAAGTAAGGCCTTAATACTATAATAGAACGCTCAGTAAAACACTCAAAAGGCTTTCATGAACATGGCTTGTAATTCTGTTTAGTAAATGGATCACAAATAACATCTTTAAAAAAGCTTAAGAAGAAAGCTGAAATGATGTAAGATAAAACCAAATGTACCCTCTGAATTTTCTTTACATTACATTAGTCTTGCCCTTACATTCCCTCTGAGACAACCCTAGTTTACATCTAGGCAATTCCTACTAGACTGTCCTAGACTATTCAAGCCATGTCTGTAAAAGCCACCTTAACCTAAAAGGCCTACCGTGTCCTGTGACTACACGTGCTCCTCATATACAGTCACACAGACATGAGGGAGCCACTAACCAACCAAAGTAGGAATGAGTAGTACTACCAAAAGCACTACAAACTTAGTGCTACCTCTTAGTGCTACATACTTAGTCTGTACTACTGTCTGTAGTACTAAACGGTAGCACTGCGTCGTTGGTGGGGTTTGTCCATTATCTTTGTCCTGAAGCTGAGTTCTCAATTTATCTAAAAAGAGCATTGTGTAGCTGGTTTCGATTCCTCTGTCTTTACAGACTTGCTGTCAACAAACACCAGATCACATCCTTAGCAATGGTAGTTTAAGCTAGCTGTACTGTGTTTACACTCTCAGTGGTCACTGTTACAACTTCGTATTGTCATGTGCTGTGCTGAGATTTCTTTTGGCAGGACGTAATGTTTGAGAGTGTCCACTGAGATTCATGTATAAGAAATGTTCTGGTAGACTAGATGAAATTAAAACTACTGGATACAGAGATATTTTCCAACTTTTTAGTCAGTTATGACACACCACTCTGGCTTCCTATTTTTGTTGTCTTCAGCTGCTAAAGGCAGTGGTCTTCAAGGTTCAGTGAGTATAGCTCTGAGATTGCCTTCTTTATACTGCTGATGTTCTGAGACTGAGTATGTCTTATCATTCATCTATAGCCCTTCTCATGAAGCAGAATGAGAGGTTCTTGCATCCAAAAATAGTCTTGACTGTGTTGTTAGAACAGTCCTGATGTGGGTACCAGCTACTCCACTGCAGATTCCATTAGAGCACAAGTATGAGACTCAGTTTGGAGAAGAAGTGGGAAGGTGTATCTGCTGAGTGACCACTGAGTGTAACAGTATCTAAGCTGGAAGCAGTATACCCAAACCTAGCAAAACTACCTTGCTTGAAAAGCATCACTGGAGATAAATGTGTAGCTAACTGCTAGGCAGTGTATCATACCTAAATCATCATTGGGTACTGACCAAAATGTATCTGTAGTATCAACTACTGAAAACGGTCAAGTATCCAAGTTGGTATCAAATGGTTGGTCAATTTCATTTTCTCTACTTATACTTTAATTAAGTAGTATTGAAGTATATTCAGTGTAATATAAAAAATATATTGTTGGTATCAGTGCTTAAACTGTATTATTGTATCAGCATTGGAATGTTTAAATTTCAAACAATACCTACACTAAATAATCTCATCTTACAAATGGGTTTCCTTTAAACTAGATACCAATAGAGTCACCATATGAAGAGGAAAAAAAAAGATGTTACTTTGAGAAGTTGAGATTGCAGTTGGCTCCTTGTCTTGATCGCTGGGACGAACCGCTTGGCTCGGCTAACGTGTGGCAGAGGAGCGATTGATCTTTGTAGGGCCGCAATGCACTTAAGATGTCTTGGTAACCTTATGGCTCCGTTTCAAGGCGTAGCGGTTTCTATGTGCTCAGCTAGTACGTCAGAAGCTCCACTGTAGCTGACTGCAACTCCTTCATAATGCAACCGCATGTTGGTTCTACTGGGAGAGCACAAGAGCTGCTAGACAAAATGTATTCTAGCAAAGCCATTTTCTGGGCAAACCTTGCTGTGATATCTGTTCTCTATTACAAAGTGAAAAGATATATCGGAGTAGCATTGAGGTTGAGCTATAACAACGGAGTGAAATCCTAAATCACTTCCTACCTTATGGGAATCTACAGTCAGACCATCTCGACGGAGAAGCATACATCTAGCGTAGCATTTGTCCTTACGTCAGGGCCTAACGGCGCTATTTAAGCCTTAATAATCATACTTCAGCTAGACCCACAAAACTTAACAATACTTTTATCATAGTAACGGGGTTCTACCACATTTTCAGAGATGTGGATAATAATGTTTCCTTGCGTTTCTCACCAAAGCCTAGCTAACTTTCTGGGAGAAATAATTTTAACCTGCTTAAAGAACCCATCTAGTCAAAAAAAAAAAGAAAACAGGGTGTTAAATCTTTTTATCCTTAAAGTAATATGGCATGCATCTCTAAAATGTTAACTTGAAAATGTATTTATGTGTTTGAAGACCTAGCATGCAGAGAACAACCTTAATGAATGCTTAACTCACAAATGCCACTAATTCAATGGTTACTAGTTAGGTTTAATGTAATTTAACACGATCTGATACCTGGGGGATCAGTGTGCCATCCCTGTTCTTCTCTGCTTTCTTGCGGGCTAGCATCTCCTTGTACTGCTGCTCCCTCTTTTCCAAAACCCTCTGGTTATACAAATCCAGCTGCAACATAAAGAATACAAACACCATTAAAGCTTTATCCTCATGCAGCTGCAATGTGGTAGCCTTTCATCATTTCTAAGGTTTCTACTTTATTAAATTCTTTAGTGTCTGTCTAGATTACCTGGGCATACATGCATGACTATTTAGATTACTGACAGCAGATACAAATCCTCAACTCATAGGAACTGTACTTCAGTAAGAATAGTAGTACCACTGCTGATCATACCTTCTCTTTCTGCTTGCTCTTTATGTCATCATCTGTCTCTGCAGAGGTCTGAGGACTTGAGGCTGATGGAGACTCTGTAGGTAAACTAAACTGGACTGTTTTGACCAGTTTGGCTTGTGGCTGTACAGCTAGAGATTTCATGGTCTCAATGACCTTCAGGCATCTGGCCACTGTCGTAGAGATGGTTGTCTGGTCATCATTTGTAGGACTCGATGTTGCTGGTGTTGATGATGGTGGTGTCACTTCAGCAGTGGTCAAAGGATTGAATGAGTTAAGGGTGGAGCTGCAGGAAGCTGGCCAATAAAAAGGAAGGCCTGCATGACTGGAGGGTGGAGAGAAAAGAGGCTGTCCAAGAGGGTGATGGGATGGAGGTCCAGGTAGAGGCCCTGGAGGATGTTGTCCGGATGGGCGCCGAGGTGGAGGACCAGAGGAGGCCCTGGAGGAGGCAGTCCATGACGCCGTGGAGGAGGTCCAGGGGGAGGACCAGGGGGAGTTCCTGCAGTAGGTCCAATTTTCTGGGGTGGTAGACCAGCTGCAGGAGGAGCTGGGGTGGCCATGCTGAGGGTTGTGGAGCTCTGGGCTTGGGAATCTGAGTAGTCATTCCAACAGGCCAACTGATTGGTGGGCTTGGCTGTTGGTGGTGAGCAGGTGGAGGCCCAGAGGAGGTTGTGCAGGAGGAGTGGTGGAGGGTATGCTCCCCATTGTCTTGGTAAGACTTTGCAGCTGTTGTGCCTTCTTAATGCCTCCAACTCTTGCTGGTCCAGGAATCCGTCATACTCAGAGACAGCTTTATGTCTGCTAAGTGGCTCCAAACTGGAGGACCTGACAGGGGAGGAGGAATGGATGTGATCTGATTCAATTGAACTAGTTCTACTTGTTTGCCGTTCTTCCCTTGGGGATGACAAAGTCTCTCTTTCTGTGGATGAGGACTTTGGGCTATAGATTTTCTCTTGGGCTCTGCTTGCCAGTTTGGACACATCTCCTGTACTCAGTTTCAGGCCAATCGTACGGAGTAGACTCTGGATCTTGTCATAGGGTTCTGTCTTAATCTTTAGTTCCTCACTTGTTCTCTCTACCGAGGGCCGTTTAGGGCTTAGTTGGTTTTTTTCCCCTTCTAGTGCTAGACTAGTGCTTGGCTGCTCTTGAGCCAATCCCACAATCCTAGAGAAACCTCTGCCATCCTGGAGTGCCCGCTCATGAGGCAGAAGGTCATCATTCACGTAAACCTGTTCTGATTTTTTTCAGCATCCACCTTTTTTGTTAAGCGTGTCAAGGGAAGCGATCAAGGGGTGGTTTCTCAGCTGGAGGTGATTGGCACGGTGTTGTGTTCTTCTGTTTGGGAGAGGGACTTCTAGGAGGCGGTTCTGTGGGAGAAGGAGGTCGGAAAGGGGGTTGGGAAGATGAAGTGGCAACAGTATGTGTTAAGGGAGGTTGGGTGGAGGCAGAAGGAACTTGGCTGGACTGAGAAGGTGGTGAGAACCATGGGGTTCTGGAGACTGGCTCCGTTTGACAGGCCGATACGGATCATCGTATAGTCGGGTCTGCATATGCCGGGTCATAGTAGCGGTCGTCATAGGGTTCATCATAAACATCGTAGCGATCAGTATAACGTTGGCTGGCAGACGTAGGGGCCACTATAGGTAACGTCACCATAGAGACGATTTCCTTAAGGGCGGTCACCGTAGGGCGGTCTCCATAAGGCCGATCGCTGTAAGGACGCCTGCTGGGGTATGGATCACCGTAGTGGTCACTGTACCGCCGTTCTTGGTAAGGACTGTATGGCCGGTCCATAATAAGGATCATCATATGGGGGATGACCACTCTGGTCGTTTCTTTAAGATAGATCGAACTGGTTTGTACTCAGTCAGTGGAACAGCGATCCTGCCATGGTCGTAGTCTATACAGGTCCTCTGTCCAGGCTCTATGTCCACTAGCGACTTTTGTAGGCAATCATCTCATTGAGCTCCTCCAGTTCCCGCTTCTTTCTCGCCAGCTCATCATCCATAACTCCGACACGTCTGGGAGGAGGGCTCCAACTCCCTCCCCCTCTTCTTGTGACTTTCTTCACGCTCTCTGCTAATTTTGCTCCCCCTTCTTGATGGCCCGTCCTTGCTTCTTTCTCTGCTCCTGCTGTGGCTCCTGCTGGAGCTCCTGCTTCCCGGCTGTGACTCCTCTGCGGCTCTTGGCGGGGCCACCGGTGCACCTCTTTGACCTCTCTCGGCTTCGGCTTCGCCTGTTCCTGCTGCTTTTACGATCGCAGTCAACACTGGTGCTGCATCTGCTTTTAATGATACGTCCAAACTGGTCTCTGGGTGGACTTTTACTCCTACTCTTGGCCCTAACCCTACTATGACTCCCTACTTTGACTCCTGCTCCACTCCTGCTCCGACTTCTGCTCCTGCTACGTCCATATCTACTCCGACTGGTATTGTAGTCCCTTCTGCCGATACTGGTCTTGTTGTCCTGCGATCTAAGGTTTTTCACCACCGCTTTCAGCTTTCTGTCTCTGGTTTTGCTTTCCTGAAATGTCAGAAGTAAGTAAAACAAGTCAGAGAGGTTTTTCTTCTTAAAATAATTTCACAAAATGTGTATTCCCATACATTCTGTATAGATGCCAACGTGAAATAGGTCATTTACTCAAAGCCAAAAGGTGACATATGACCTAGTGGTTTATATGTAGAAATAGGTAAACATTTGTTTGTTCCAACATTACATAGATACTAAAATTTATAACTCACTCTGTGTCTTCTGAAGCTTTTTGTCAGCTTGATGGTCATCTACCAAAGAGATTAATACATTAGATATTAGATATATGTACTGAACTTCTGGTGCTGGCGTGAGCAGGGACGCTTATCCAGTAGCTCCATCCGTGGCTCAGTGGTGGGCACAGAGCTGCACTCTCTGGTGACAGTGGCAGAGAGAAGGGACCCTGGACAAACTGACTCACCACCCACTGCACAACACCTTCACAAGGCAGAGGAGTGTGTGCAGTGGCAGACTGCTGTCCCAGTCCAGCTCCACCAATAGACTATATATATATTTATATATATATAAAAATAATGATCTCTGCAAACATCTTGAAACAACTGTAACTGGTAAATAAATGTAGGTTATGGTAACACTATAGAAGCAATGTACAGCTTTGCATTGAACCCACAAATCATCCTGTAATATATATTATCCTTTACTGAAATGAGATGGAAGTTGTGTTAATGTAGTACAAATATTTAATACAAAAATGTTTGTTGGATCCAGATGGATTTGAAAAATTAACAAAAGCAGCAAACTCTTAATTCTTCCCACAACGTACCTACGGATTTAACGAGTCAACTCCACAGTTTGACTGGTTATGACTGAAAAAGATTCCTTTACTTTCTAAAATATGTATAATATTGTCTTTTATAGAATCCTGTTATTTCTAAGTTTCGTATAAACTGTGCAAAACATTGCAGATTTCCTTTCCTTTCTTTGTGCCTTGATATCACGATTCATTTCTCATTTTACCAACATGAATCTTCACATATTTGTACCTTGATTTAACCAACTCAGGCTTACATTCCTAACATAACTGTATAAATATAATATATAAGTCTTTACCTTTCCTTTGTTTGCACCGGACTCCGCCCAGTTTCCGAGCAGGGAGGAAAACGCTCGGTGTGACGTTTTATCCTGATGGCCTGATGTCCCCCTCCGCCGTTTCATGCTTGGAGAAAAAACAATAAACGTGTTTTTATTTGAGATAAAATACATAAATACAAACACCTAAACAGACACAAACTCTACTGACTGCCTGAAGGCACAACTACTTCTGCTGTCTACAACAGTTTCAGGCCTGTTAAAGGACAATAAGAACAGTTACAAAGTGAACATACGTAGTTGTTGAACTACCAGACAGTCAAAAGGAAATATTCATACCACATTATTAAAGACTTCAAAAACTAATGTCAGGGAGTTAAACATTATATTTTCCCAAAGCCTGAAACCTGGATACAATCACTTAACTTGCTTCCTTACTACTTTCAAGTTACAAGACACTTCTTACCAGACATTAAAATTCCAGCTGGTAAAATACAGCAGATTTTATGCAAAACTGTAAATGCTGTGATGAAAATTAAAGTCCCGAGATTAGTGGTTGATGTGGATCTGACTGACTGGTCCCGGGTAGTTCTGGTTATGAATATCTGAACAGTCCAGCTTCTTGTCCTGACATAATCGGACTCTCTTTTTTAATCCTAAAGCTCCTGTAAAAAGCCCTCAGCCATCAGAACTTTGACTGAAAGCCGAAGAGGATAAAAAGGATTAAAAGGGGGACTCACGGGGACGACGCTAAACTCCACCTTCTCGTTCAGCTCCAGTTTCTTCTTCTCTATCACCTCGGACATGTGGAAGTAGAGTTGAGGGTTCTGAGAGCACTTGATGAGCCCCGAGTCGTCCAAGAACTCGATCACGATTCCCTGGTTAGAAAATCAGTCACACAAACAGTTAGACCGGTTTGGTTGGTTTCACAGATCCTGTGGAACCAGCTTCCAGTTGTGGTTCAGGAGGCAGACACCCTCACCACATTCAAGAGTAGGCTTAAGACATTCCTCTTTGATAAAGTTTATAGTTAGGGCTGGATCAGGTGAGTCCTGAACCATCCCTTAGTTATGCTGCTGTAGGCCTAGACTATCGGGGGATTTCCCATGGTGCACTGAGCTCCTCTCTTGTGCTTTCTCGTCTCGCAGGTTCTCATGGATCATGGTGGAGCCTCCTGCCATGGTCCTGCTTGACTGCCATTGCTAATATCACTGATGTTACTGTTATTATTATTAATATTATTATTACTAAAGTTACTATTATTATTATTGTCACTGCTCATTGTCCCCCATCATTGTTGTTGTCATGTTCATCATCATCAGTCACTACTATTAGTGTAGTTGTTGCTACTGTTGTTGCTGTGCAGCTGTCTGTCTGTTTGTCTGTCTGTCTCTCTCTCTCTTTCACCCCAACTGGTCGAGACAGACGACCACCCACCTAGAGCAGAAGGATCTGTCCTAGGTTTCTGCCTTTTAACAGGCAGTGTTTCCCTTGCCCCCGTCGCCAAGGTCTTGCTCATGGTGGTACTGTTGGGTCTCTGTAAATGTTAAAAGGAGTTCGGTCTACACCTGCTCTATTTGAAAAGTGTCCTGAGATAACTTCTGTTATGAATTGGTGCTATACAAATAAAATTGAATTGAATAGATTCAGATTCAGTCTCTGCAGCTGCTCTGACTCAAACTAACAGCACGAGGGAGATGAAAGCGTTCTAAAGTCTTACGTGTCGACGTTGTTCGGTGGACTCTTCAAAGGAGTCGGGGAGAATTTCCACGTAGGTCGCTCGCTCCTCTTTGGTCTCCTGATGGGTGGCGATGTTGAAACGTACCTTCACAGATCAGATACAGTTCAGGATGAGAAACCAACATCCAGAATGAAGAAACTGGTTGTTTCAGCACAGTTACGGAGCTGAAAGCCGCAGGTCAAACACAATCAATCTAACAGCACATACTCAGGTTACCCACAGTAAGTGGCTCTTGGTGAGTTAACCACAGGGAGAGGAAGTATTCAGGTCCATCAAGTAAAAGTACTAATATCAGCCCCATTTCTCCTGAATAATTACTGTATTCCTAGCTATGAATTGGGATACTGAGTGTGACAGTGCATCTCCTGTGAGTCTCTTTAGCTTCGCCACTCTGACGTGTAGATGTACAGTATTTCATTACTGTGGTTACTGCGACAGCCATACCTAAGGTCTTACAGCAAAATATACTTTATTATTTTATGACTCGTTCTTTGCACATGCACTATGAATATATATAACAATAACAGTATTTAAAAGAAATGTGCAGGAGAGGTTTGAAGCCAAAAATGGCTTATGAAGATTCCTCCTATATAAATATAATCAGTACAGTGCAGTAAAATGTTCCTGTCAGTGTTATATCTGATGCTTTAGATTATTATTGATGCTGTATTCAGGTTGAGCTCATTTTTAATATACTATAAATACTGTTGGGGACTTTTGGCTATGTCCAATAAATCTGTATTTATCAAAGTGACTTCGCCCTAAAAATTACTTTATGCTGTTGGACTCGCTCTCTGTGGAGCTCACGTTGTGTAGCCTGTGTTAGCTGTTAGCGAGAGCTGACAGATGTCTGTGGAAGGTCTGACGACATAAAATAAATGTCAAACGATGAGTGTCATATATATTTAACAGTAATAATATACACAGTTAATCCCAGCTGGTTGCTTTAAACCCTGTCTGTAAGGCCTCCAGCATTCTCTCACCTTGTCTCCATCCAACATGGTGGCCGTGGTCAGCAGGTCGTTGGGGCCGAAGGGAAGCTGCTTCTGTTGACCGTCGATGGTCATCACTAGTCGACCCATCTCTGGGTCCTGTTTGGCTCCGCCTCCTGCTGCGGCTCTGCCCCAGACTCATTCTTCTTCTTCTTTACCTCCTCATCCTCCTTTTTAATCTCTAATCTCTTACCCTCCTCTTCTCCTGCTCCTTCAGGT